TCCCAGGCCAGTTCAGGACTTCCTTGGGGCCTAGGACTCAGTCAGAGTCTGAGATCTCGCTCTTTTCCAAATAATCAACTGCGAGTTGGGCAATAGGCTGCAGGACAGAGTGGGTGGTCCTTGTGCCTGGAATTGGCCAGAGCAGAGCACTCCAGGGACCCCTGGAATGAGAGAGCAGAGCACTGCAGGCTGAGATTCCTTCAGGCCCAGCCCCTTGGCAGCAGCCCAGGCCTTACCCGAGGCCTTCCACGTGGAGCCTGATGATCTCATTCAGGATTTCAGTCCTGGCCTGTGAAAGAGTGACTCAGGGCCTCTGCCTGCTGCCCTTGCTCCAAGATTTTACTACAGCTGGGTAGGATGGTGTGCGTACTGCCTTGTTCAGACTGTAGAATTTCAAAGAGAACGGAAGAACCGTCTCTCTCTCTGTCTCTCTCTCTCTCTCACACACACACACACACACACATACACAAAGGGCCTGACCACTCTGGGGAGTACACATGATGTTTTTATTTAAAACTGAAGGAGAAAACTTTCTAAAATAACACTTTCAGGGAAAAGAGATGCAAATATTTTTGTTATTGTTGTTCTGGGTATATTTTAGCTTTATTTGCTTTGACTGGTTCAGTGCTTTCCTTATATACTCACAGAAGGTAACTATTCTTGGGTAGCCTCCCCATGAGCAAACGATCTTTCTTATTTCTTTACAGGAACTGGAAGCATAAGAAAGAAACGATTTGTGTCCAGCCCCCGCTATGTGGAAACCATGCTTGTGGCAGACCAGTCAATGGCAGAATTCCATGGCAGTGGTCTAAAGCATTACCTTCTCACCTTGTTCTCGGTGGCAGCCAGGCTGTACAAACACCCCAGCATTCGGAATTCAGTTAGCCTCGTAGTGGTGAAGATTTTGGTTATCTATGAAGAACAGAAGGGGCCTGAAGTGACCTCCAATGCTGCCCTCACTCTGCGGAACTTCTGCAACTGGCAAAAGCAGCACAACCCGCCCAGTGACCGGGATGCAGAGCACTACGACACGGCAATTCTCTTCACCAGACAGGTGCGAGAAAGGCAGCGCCAACCATGACAGCGTCCTCTTGGGGGTCTGCATTGTACCAACCACGTGTATAAAAAGCCTATCATGAATTATTTTACACTGACGGTTTTTAAATTGACTAGTTGTTATGACTTATTTCTACTTTAATTGTAATACCTTGAGTATCGTGAGTACAGTCACATAAGGTCCTCCTACTTCAACAGTAATGGCTGTGTCTTCACTTCCAAAGCCTAAGTGAAGACACAGCCCACCAAGAAGTTAGGTCCCAAGGTTAATTAATGCTCACGTTATTTTAATTAGAATCTATCTTTACTCTTTGTAGGACTTATGTGGGGCCCAGACCTGTGATACGCTCGGGATGGCTGATGTCGGAACCGTGTGTGACACAGGCAGAAGCTGCTCAGTCATAGAAGATGATGGTTTACAAGCCGCCTTCACCACAGCCCATGAATTAGGTAAGGCTATTTCAGAGCGGGAGTGAAGCTAAATTCAAATTGATAAACCAACAAATTAACTTAACAGAGCGAATCTGCAGGTATGCTGCTATTTTCAGCACATCTTAGACCCTGCGGGAAAGAGTTTCCACTATTTCAAACACGGTCACTTCATTAGAATAAAAATTAAGATATTAGGAGCTACGAATATTTGGAAACTTACAAGTTTATTTATACCCTGTGAAAAGTAGACATTGTCTCCAAAACACAGTGTCTCCTAAAGATAGTTCTTTCTCTAGAAACATCACTTTGAGACAAAGAATGTCTGGTGGGGGAAATAAAATGCTGCATCTGACCTATATTTGAATGGGAGTTTTGGATTACTTTCCAGGGCACGTGTTCAACATGCCACATGATGACGCAAAGCAGTGCGCCAGCCTCAACAGTGTGAATCGCGATTCCCACATGATGGCGTCCATGCTTTCCAATCTGGATCGCAGCCAGCCATGGTCCCCCTGCAGTGCCTACATGATTACGTCATTTCTGGATAACGGTCATGGTAAGAAGCTCTGGCTACTCTTTCTAGAAGGCATCCAACCTTTCATGTCTTGGGTCTAATTAAATGACCTCTTTCTTTTCTGTTCTTTTCATTTTCCCTCCTTCAAAATTCCTTTTCACTGTCAAGATCATAATAACTCTTCAGATCTTAATTCCCAATAATGATAGGGCCTCCAGTTGAGTAGCTTTCAAAGTCTATTGATTCACATTTTTAACAGAACAGTAATTCTATGTCATTGTTAATACAGAAATACCTCATTGGGGATGATATTTTATTGATGATCTAAATCTCTCTGGTATTTTTCTCCTAAGCTTCAATTTGCAAGTCACTTCGCTGTATACCATTTTATATGATAAATCCTTTTTGTAAGTGGCAAGCTACTCCTACGTGCTTTCACTAACTATTTATTAATATTAGTTGGCATTTTCTTTGCAGGGGAATGTTTGTTGGACAAGCCCCAGAATCCCATACAGCTCCCCGCGGATCTCCCTGGCACCTTGTATGATGCCAACCGGCAGTGTCAATTTACATTTGGGGAGGAGTCCAAGCACTGCCCTGATGCAGCCAGCACGTGCACCACCTTGTGGTGTACTGGTACCTCTGGCGGGTTGTTGGTGTGCCAAACCAAACACTTCCCTTGGGCAGACGGCACCAGCTGTGGAGAAGGGAAATGGTGTGTCAACGGCAAGTGTGTGAACAAGACCGACAAGAAGGATTTTGATGTGAGTTTTCCTCCTGATACACATCCAGAATTAAAAATAACAAAGTGAAGCTAAAAGTTGGGATACCAAGTTCAATATCCCCATCTGTGTCCTCTGGTGGGAATTCAAGATAGCTTGTTTTTAGAACTGATTCTTTGGTCCCCATTTTTTTTCTTTTATTTTCTAAAAGATCTCTTTTGAGAATTCTAATGCTGATGCCTTGTGTCTCCATTTAGACTCCTGTTCATGGAAGCTGGGGGCAGTGGGGACCCTGGGGAGACTGTTCAAGAACCTGCGGTGGAGGAGTACAGTATACAATGAGGGAATGCGACAACCCAGTCCCCAAAAATGGGGGGAAGTACTGTGAAGGCAAACGAGTGCGCTACAGGTCCTGTAACATTGAGGATTGTCCAGATAATAACGGTGAGTAGGCGTGGACTCCAGCTTTGAGAAGGGGGATAAAAAAGGTGCACCCTCAGACAGGTGGCTAAACATTACAGAGTGGGAACATCATCACATCATCCTCTTTTCCAGGAAAAACCTTCAGAGAGGAACAATGTGAGGCACACAACGAGTTTTCAAAACCTTCCTTCGGGAGCGGGCCAGCGGTGGAGTGGACACCCAAGTATGCTGGTGTCTCGCCAAAGGACAGGTGTAAGCTCATCTGTCAAGCCAAACTCATCGGGTACTTCTTTGTTTTACAGCCCAAGGTAATTACTTTTACATTTATTTTTTGCCCCAGAACCAAGGCCTTAGCTCGTCACCTGCATGCAACTTTGGTGTGCTTTCTTTTATATATTAACACATTCACTTTCAAATTTGGACATCTTTCCATGTATACATAGCTATTGGCAACTGTGTGCTTTGAGTTTGATTTTGCTTTTAGTTATGAATCAAGATTAAACCCAGCACTTAAGATTATTGAAATTATTCATGGTTACTCTTTATATACAAAAAAAGCTCTTTGAAAGATCCAGCCCTCCACATAACTAGATTCACATTCAGCTCACGTGTTTACACATCAAGCAGTCGTAGAAATAGTTTAGGCATGGTCCAGAGTACTTGCTGCTGAGTGACTAGCAAAGGGTTACATGCAAATGGACTTATTAAAGTGGAAGTTGGCACAATGATAATTCCTATGTTTGAGGATATATATTGAACTAGGAAAAGCATTACTTCTTTTGCTGTTTTAATAAGGGAATAAATCTGGCCTAAGGCAGAAATGGAATTTAATTTGATCGAGAGTGTGCTACGGAAATATTCCCAAGTTGCAGATTCACTATTTGACAAGTGATTTATGAAGCACCTACTGTTGCCAAATGTTATTCTAGGAACTGAGGATATAGTAGTAAACAAAGTGACCATGAAATGTGCTTTATTAACCTCAGTTAGAGGAGAGATAGATCAATGGACAAATAATCAAAAGACGATTTTTTCAGATGTCTATACATACTATTGGAAAAAAGCCAGAGTGAAGTGTCATGCGTGACATTATAGAGGGTATGACTTTTACTTAGCTCTGGCAGGAAAGCGGAGAGAATGCTCATTCCTGGTACAGGGTCCTCTCCTTCCCCTGCTGATGTGTAACACAGAACCGTGTGTTTTTTTCAGGTCATAGATGGTACTCCATGTAGTCCAGACTCCACCTCTGTCTGTGTGCAAGGACAGTGTGTAAAAGCTGGTTGCGATCACATCATAGACTCCAAAAAGAAGTTTGATAAATGTGGCATTTGTGGAGGAAATGGATCCACATGCAAGAAAATATCAGGATCCGTTACTAGTGCAAAGTAAGTTTAAATGC